TATTAATGAATTCACTTGTAATTGTACTGACACGGGTAAATTCATTTAAAAATCATTATTTAATTGTATTCTATAATTTTTTTTTAATATTTTGTATAGGATACACGGGCGATAACTGCAATATTGATATTGATGAATGTTTTGATCTCAATATACAATGTGGTCATCGTGGGGAATGTAAGAACATACCAGGTTCTTTCATGTGTGTATGTGAAAAAGGTTACTGTGGGAATTATTGTGATTTGATCAATCCTTGTTTGCCAGTAAGTACTTTTAAGCTTTTGTATTTAAATATGCTATTATTAATTTGTTATACCATTTATTAGGAAAACCCTTGTAATAATGGAGGTGTTTGCCAAGAGCATTGCACTGATGTAATAATCTATGAATGTCAGTGTGCCAATGGTTATGTTGGACAAAACTGTACTGAGGTAAATGAAAACAAATTATTTTATTAATATTATACATTATTAAATAATAGTTTTGTTGCATGCAAAAGGTAGAATTAGTCTTAAATCAGTAAGTTCTAATGTTTTCATCATAAAATATGTATTCCAACACTTAAAAATATTTTATTTACAATAAGGTTCAATTTATTTTATTTAACTTATTTTAAATTATTTTTTTTAAACATGGTACTTCTGCTATATGAAGCATTAACTGAAATATCTGATATTTCTTTTGTCTTTTGAAAATCCAGATAATAGTATAATACTGTACAATGGGGCTGGTGTATTGCGGTAGTTGGTCACAGGCACTAGTTTGTGCTGCGGTCAAGCTCCAGCACATCATCCGAGTTCTCAGAAACAAATCTTTGCCCCTCTTAAAACATATGTTCTATAGAAAACTCTAGTCACAATAAGTTAATTTGCATAATTGCATAAGCTCAAAGATCAATTAAAATAAAAAACTTAAAAATACTTAACTTGGAAATATTTTTTAAATAAGATAATTACTTCAAATTTGAATACATTTGTATTCAATGTCAGTTAGTTATTTATTTATGAAAGCCTCAATATATAGTATCTGATGTATCTTAAGTCTTAACGATAATTTTAGAAGTTATACTTATTCTTATTTATTAAAATCTACTATTATCATTATTTTTTTAATTTGTGTGATTCATCTTAAATATTTTATTATTTTAGCTTCCTATCATTCACAACTATGCAGATATAGCATTAATTGTTGGTCCAATATTACTTATTCTACTTATTGGTGGTATGGGCAGTTTGTTTGTACTATTAATGATGGCACGGAAAAAAAGAGCTACACGAGGTACTTATAGTCCTAGTTGTCAAGAATATTGCAATCCAAGAGTTGAATTAGACAATGTACTGAAACCCCCACCAGAAGAGCGACTTATCTAATTATAATTTTTATTTTTTAAACTATTTTAAGAACAATTATGTAATTGGTTATAAGATTTTATACATTTTAACAGTTATGAATTTTATTTAAACTATATTAATGATCTCTTTATTTTTGTTTAGCGGCCATTATACACTTCATTTAATTTATCATACATTTTATGATTTTCATTTAAATTATAATTTTTCCAGTATTTTTTTTGCTTTTGTAGTTTATCATCCAACTTAATGCAATGATGGTTTTTTTTATTTGTACTTCCTCAATAGAAACAAATTAAATAATAATTAATCACAATAATTAGAAACAATTGTTGATAGCTTATAATAGTTTAAGTATTACATTTAATAAGTTTATTTAAAATTATTAAACTTAGAACAAAACCTTAACTGAAGTATTGATAAAATATTTCCAATTTAACAAAAATAGTTTTAATAGTTTTGTATAGTACTTTAAAAATAAGTCTGTTATATGATAATGTTGCACTTTTAATTAAGACATTTTTTTAAATGTATTTATCTTGAATATTTTAAACTACAATTTAAAACATTTATATATGTATATACATACATTATGTGTAGTTATTATTATTTTCTTTTAATTTCAAAAGTTTGAACAAAATAATTATTTAGTGGTTTTGTGATTTTTATGCTTTTATTTGGCACTGCTAAATATTATTTATTTTTATTTTAGATGTATTTAAAATTGAATAGCTGACTTTTTAAGTAGATAATTTATCATTTAACATACAATTTGCATTTCAACTACAATAGAGCAAAATTCAAGCTTTATTTTAATTGAATTTAATTTATATTAATCATAGTACGTATTTGCTTTCATAAATATTAATTTGTATTATTATTTTTTTATTTAACATTTACAGCTCTCTTTAAAAATCATTGATGTAATTAATTTTATATTTATTGGTTAATTTCCGTCCTATTTATTGTAAGAAATACAAAGTATAATGCAACCCAAAATATGGAGTTTCATTAAATATTAAAATTTATCTTAACTGATATTGTATTTTTATTGTTCATTTTCATTGATAATATGTCTTTTTTTATGAAAAGTGAACTTGATCATAATTTTTTTTTTTACATATGTGAAATGAGCTTACTCTATAGTCTATACTAATAATTGTGTTAATTTTTGTGATATAAACCGTAAAACTATACATTGTATTTAGTTGTACTAATTAGGGTTTAATTATTCCGTCCACAGTTAATTGTGTAATAACAGGGTAGTTAGTAATATAATTACATACATTTTTTGAACAGATTTAATTTTTTGACACATATGTGTTAAGGGGTATGTAATAGACTGAACTGTTAAAAAATATTTTGTGCTTTTAATCTTCAACGAACTGTAAAGATTAATATGTATATGCTTATTTGTGTTGAATAAATTAAGTATCTGTTGTTTAGTGACATTTTTTAAATTTTTGTATCCCTATTAGATAGTGTTGAAGAAAATTAAATCTGTTTGAAAATTGTGTGTGTATCTTACTGTAATTTAAATGTTATGTTTAAATGGATTTTAAACAAAATATATTTTGGTGTCTGTTTGTATGTAACTATTTTTTTTATGGTAAAACTACACTCACTATAAATCTGCACTCATTGTATATTTTTATATCAGTATTATTTGCCATGTTATAAAAACCGATTAAACACAATCATTTCCATCAAATTGTAATTATTTTATAGTCTTAAAATATTTTTGGTATACTTACATTATAGTATGTTATAATATTTTGTATTGATTTGACAAACTAATAATACTCATGTTTTAAAATTGTTTTTTTTATATTTAATTTAATAATTATTATTAGTGCATACAGTTTTTGTGTTAAATATAATATACTTTCAAATTCCATTTAAAAAATCATGTTTCTATTTTTTTTTTTGATTTATTCTAATTCCCATATGAAAAAGGCTTTGAAAGTTCTGTACTGATTGTTCCATTTAAAACCTCCACTTCCTTTATGCCAATGCTCCAATCTTCAAACTGCCTCTGACATTGTGTGGTTCATCTTTCAGCCAGTTGACGTATCAACATGTATAGTAGTTGCCATACCAAACAAATGAGCCCTCTTTTAATAGATCGTGCCAGAGGTCTAAAAATGAGAATCAACCTCATTACCTAAACAATTAAAACATCGAAACTCATGAAAACTCCGTGAGTGGGTGAACATTGGAGTATAGATTGAATATAAAATGCCACTTACTCTCTGGGTACATTATGCATTTCTCTCGAGCAGAATTGCAAAAAAAAATTGTTTCACCACATTTAAGTTTTCTTGATCCATTATGATACTGGCCAATCATATTTCTTAATAATAGCAGAGTGCCATAGATTTGTACTATTTTAGGTACTCAAATTGGCTTAACCGTGCACAGTACAAAATAATATACACCTATTGTGTAGGCTGGTTAAAATAATTAAAATACTACAAAACCAAGATACAGGTGTGTTCCACTCAGCTGTGGTACATAGTGTGTGATGCTAGGGATGTGGCATTAGATTTGTTTAAACTGTATAATATTAAACTTATTTAAGTATTTTGGAAAAAGTTTTTTTTTTAATGTTTATATGCATAACACACCAAATCTGTTTTTAGTAGGATACATTTTGTTTGGTTAACTTTAATAGTAAGAGTGAAATGTTAGTTGACCATATTACAGCGGTTCCCAAACTTTTTTAGTTCACGCCACCCTAAAAATTAAAAAAAATAATTGCGCCTCCCATAAAAAATTTAATTACAAATTTATAGTATTTAAATATACAAACATTTTTATTTTTATGACAATATAAGTTAACAGTAAATATTATTAAACTTCAATTTAAAGTATTACAAAATATTTTTATTTTTATGAAAAAAAAATAATAAGTATTAATATTTGAACAATGCGCTTGTTTTCCGTTTAATAATTCTTCAAAATTAGGTAGCAATGTTGTAACCACCACACGCGTTTCTTTTTCAATATTAAGTTTTGATCGATATTTTGATTTTAATACAGCAACTGCAGAAAAGCCTGATTCGCATAAATACGATGTCGCAAATGGTAGTAGTACACGCAAAGCTTTATTGTTGGATATTATTTTCAGCATATTCATCTTGAATGCTGTTCCAAAATCCTAAAAGTGAAAATGAAGAAAATTTCATTCGTAACGAAGAATCAGGTGAAATATCGATTAATTTTTCTTCTTCAGTAGTTGTGAAATTTGGTAATGGTTTTTCACTAAACGGATCTTTAATCCAATTGTGTTGTACGATGTCTTCTGAAAAATATTTCTCGAAATGATTTTTAAGAGTCATTAGATGATCAGAAATTATTTTTAGTGAGCTCATTGGTAATGCAACATCATTATCTTTAAGAAAACTTTTTAAAAGTGAAAAACACGTTGTTTTACCGTTTTCTTCGGTCAGTTTCCTCTGCCATTAGTCGATTTTTTTAATAAAAGCAACCACTTTATCATATAATTGCAGATTTTCAGAATATGAGTTTCTTTAGTTCTTTACCCTGTAAAGATGTATTGAGTATATTAAGTTTTTCAAAAATATCCCATAAATACGCTAATTTAATTACAAAATCACTATCAATAAACTTGTTAAAATCATGATGACGTTATTCATTCAAATAAGTGTAAAGTTCTTGTCTAAGTTCAAACACTCGTACTAGTACGTTTCCTTTTGATTGCCATCTAGAATTACAATAAAACAGTAACGCAGTATGTTCTGCTCCCATTTCTTCACATATCTTTTTAAAGAACCTTGCTTTAACAGGCCTTGTTTTTATGTAGTTAACTACTTTTATAACTGTTTGAAGTATGGTATTTAACGATGGACACATATTTTGGGATGCTAAGGATTCTCGATGAATAAGACAATGAGTCCATATCATTTCTAGAGCTTTTTGTCGTATGAAAGTCTGAAGTCCACCATAATGACCGGCCATTCTCGAACCCCATCTGTACATACACACAAACAGTTTTCCCAATTAATATTATTACAATACATTAAGTCATTAGTGATCTCAAATAAGGTTTTAGCCTTAGTGTCCCCGAAAATTGGTTTGCAAAATAATAACTCTTCTATAATATATTTTGTTTTGTCCATGCAACGAATATAACATTATCAAGTGTGCGTCTTTATTACTATCGGTAGCTTCATCAAGTTGTATTGCAAAATTTTTGTTTTTTTATTTATTTATAAGCTGTTTATTTATATTGTCAGAAATATCATGAATTCAGGGACTTATTGTATTATTAGACAAGGGAATATTTTTAAGTTGGTTTGCAGTAGATTCCCCGATCATAGTAGAAACCATATCAATGGCTGATGGTGAAATGATTTCTTCAGCAATTGTATGAGGTTTTTTACTCTGAGCAACACGAAACGCTACCTTATGAGAAGCTAAAAGTGCTTTGGTCGGAACACTTGTCTGTTTAATAAAACTGGTTGATTGTTTTTCTAATTGTTCACGTTGCCTTACAAAATAATCACTTTGCCTTACTTAGTATAGGTGCCTACTGATGTCAAAATTATTATGCATGTTATTATTAATTAATAATTACTATACTCGGTGAATCAAGACTTAAATGCCCATAAATATAACCTATAGGTATCAGTATTTAATTCAATAGTTTGCTGACCATTTATTTTCATGTACCTAATATGAATGTGATTCAGATTTCAAAAAACATACTTTGATTATTTTTAAAACTACTCTTGAGATTGTAAACACTTACTGTACAATTTACATTATTATAAGTAGGCATTGAAAACTTAACAGTTTAAATTTTGGAGACATAAACTTTATAAAGATTAGATAGGTACAAGCTTATTGTTTATGAAGTGTTGTTAAAAGATATCAAAATTCGTTAATTGACATTTTGTGTAATGACCATCGTTGTACTCGATAAAAAAAATATAGGTACGATTTGTTGCTACCTACATAATTTTATGATAAACAACTGGTCAGTGGTTAGTGGTTACAAATCCATCATATTGGTAGGTACCTAAAGGCTAAAATTAATAAAATAACAACTCAAAATAATTAAGACATTTTCCACTTAAATTAACATATTTCCAAAAAAACTTTTGGAGTGCTTTATATTTAATCAATTATATATATGCCTTATACAATTTTGTTTCGTTCAATGTTACAAAATAAACGTAAACATAACTATATATGTTTATATTTTAAGTATTTGTCTTAGTAGGTACTTACTTAACTAGCAACTAACTATTACCTACAAGTACACGATATTATCTTATAATCAGTTTAGAAACTTTTTTTTTAAATTTAAATAATTATATCTAAATTGAGAGATTTGTCTAATGCAATTATTTACAAATTATTTATAATGTGATAAAGTTATAAATTACAGTAATGCTCAATATTTTTATAGTACAATTTTGAATTGAATTATTCCTAATGATTTTTTTCTTAGCCGTTTACATTTCACATACAAAAAAGGTTTCAAATGAGCAAGGCGAATCGTTCCATTTTAATCCTTTGCCGTCTCGATTCCATAACTCTAAGCAATGTTCCTCTTCACCATTTTCATATTTGAAATTGTTTGGTTCCCCGGCATTCCAGTTAGTGTATCCAATCGGCCGGCCATTGGCCAACCAAAAGAATGATCCTTCTTCTGCTTGATCCGTACCAGAGGTCCAAAAGTGTTCATGGCCCAAACCTAAACATTTTACAATTTCGTAATAGTTTATAATATAATTATAATTTATTTGTCATCACACTACACCCTTTCCACGAGTTATAAAATAGGTTATAGGAACCTACAGTTAGTTACACAGTTTACTATTATTTATTTATCAAGTACCTATATTATGTCCTTACCATTGTCTTTAATGTATTTTTCCAACTTGTCATTCTCTTCTTGGCTACTGATGCTGGCCAAATGCATTCCATGATATCTACAGTATTGCGCGGCTTTGTACCAATTGGCCTAGATTAATAAAAACAGGCGATGTAGGTATTCGTTTGTTTAGTGCAGATCGATTTTTTTTTTAAATGTTTTTAATGGTTACCTTAAAAAATATTCCCAAGTATAATTTTTTGTCTCCCGATCGTAAAAGTGGCAGTGACCACTTGTTGATGACGGAAGCAGTGTCTTCCACACAGTTATTATTGCTGCATTCACCTGTAACATAAAATCACATAATTTTGTTAGTTAATTGATATTTCACCGATTCTTCCAAGAAACAATTAAGTATCTATTATACAGAGTGATTCATCTAGCTTACTCAATGATATCCATCAATAATACATTCAAATTCAGATTTTTGGAATGTCAAAGTAACTATAGGAAGATACTAACTTATTTTTTCAAGAAGAGCCAACCACTTTTACTGTAAACTTTAATGTTAAGAAGATGATTTTTTTTTTAAATGCTGATGTAACTAAATCAAAATTCAAAAGAGTTGGTACCTTGAGTTATTAATGTATATACATATACTTATACTACCTAGGATAATAGTGCTTAAAGATGTTAATAAACAAAAATATAAAATATACTAGGTACGTAAAATGTTATGTAGCATATTTTGTCCATTTTTATAAAATATATAATGTTGATAGATTAATTATAATTACTATATTTTTCAAATCATTCCAGACCAATATCTACCAAATTTGTTATAACGGACGATGGACGTATATAATCCTTTGTGCATAAATTTGTAAAACTCAAAAAAACTTGTTTGAATTTTGATTTAGATAATTTTGATGAATCAAGATTTTTTTAAAATGCATGGGTACCTACTTTATCTAAGTGATTTAAAATTTTCTCCTTATACTTAAAAATTCAAAAAAATCAGGGTTTAGTTAATTACCTACCTACAATTCATTAGAGAAAAAAAATGGTGGACATGCTTTGTGAATCACCTAGTATATTTATATCAACGAATGAAAAACTTGAAGAAGTATGAGTAATTATTATAAATTTAAATTATTACTTTATGAACAAACTTAATGGGTGCGAGGTTAAAGTATCTACTGAGGTGTATTATTGTAATTTTTAATAATATTTTATAATATTTATAATATATATTTTTTTTAATATTGGCGTCGAAATATGGCTTTATTATCGCAAATGCCTTATTTTAGAAGTTTTCAGTGGTTAGGTCGGTTTCTAATTAGGTATGCAATTTATAACCAAATTATTATTTGCCTACAATTATTTTCAAATAAAAAATTTGTTGTTCGTACCTATAAATCGTATATCAGTATTCAGTGGTATTTAAAATTATATCTACATATAGGTTCGTCATTGTGTGGATTATATTATTATAATGCCAGCGCATATCTATATTCCTGTTTACGAAATAATATGTTATATAATGCAAATTTCGAGAGGTAAAACATTGTTTTTTTCTAATTGGTGAAGAGGGTCTTTTGCATCATTTGTACAAATATTTAGTGATATTGATTATAATGGTATTATATATCCTTATAGCCACTCGTTTTAATGCTATTTTGTTGCCTCATCTGAATACTGATGTACGCGTATACTGTTTAATGCACGTATACCTACGTATAATTTATGCACGGGGAAATGTATTGAGTGAGTATTGAAATTATCGTACATATGGATGATAGGTATTCTATTTAAACATTTGTTTTTTTTTTTTTGTCTTTGTATAACTGGCAAACTTCAATAGGACGACAAAGAAAAAAATGTTAAAACATATATTATACCATCCATTATTCGTTCAGTGTCGCGTACGCTTACTATAGTTTACCCATACACTATAATATACGATCTACATTAGTAAATTTACACATTATGCTCGATCACTTTAACATTAACCGTGAGGTTTATTTTGATTTCAGGTTCAGACCCTCCAGGTAATGTAACTCGTTGGACTCCAATATATAGGTTCAAGGTTCAAACGTAACCTTCTGAGATATTTTTAAAAATAACATGTACCCATATGGGTACGATTAGGAGGCGCTCTCTACATATTGATGTACATTGAGTGTATATAGGTATAGTCGGCATGGAGGTATTCTCGAATGATTTATGTAGATATGTAACATTATGTTAAACGTTTGGTATTGGCTATGTAGACGTGTATTGAATAAACGGGCGGGCGATAAAATGTATACCAAGTATGTGTATAATATTCGTCATGTAGTTTTAATCAAGGCATGTGCATACGGTGCGTCGAAATTAAAATAAAAAAACAAATTTTCCTCTAAGTTTTATTATTTTTCGCATCCGAGGTCAGCAACTCGAATAACATAATATAACGACTTACGTACAGCAAATTACAAATAACTAGTTTTGAAAACTTATTATTCACAATTCATAAAATACCCATATAATACTCGGTTGATGTAATCAGATGACCGATCATATTTTGGACGACGATGGCCGACGGGTGTACCATTCTCAGAAACAAATCAAAAACCACGTCTGTACGTGAACATAATACAATTTTTTGACATTTTCGTAATTACAATAATGGATACTTTTAATATATTCATTATATTACCCTCGTAGTATTTTATAAATTAATTGAATTTTTTTTATGGTACATTTTTGTCAGTATCGAGAAGACAAGAACTATTATTATAATGTAAATTACAGGTGTGAAACAAACTGTACCTAATATTATTATAATAGTTGGTTTCCGCGTGACCAGTAGTTTTTATTCTTATAATAATAATAATAGTAATAATATGTATAACAGTATAAAATATTGTTTCTGATCGAAAGATTGTTTGCACATTAAAAAAAATATATATTTTCATCAAATATTTTCTCCGTATTATAAAATTGTGGACACTGCCACACTGGTAAATTATTATTAAGGTAATACTCTATTTACAAAGTGTACCTACCCAATAGAAATAACTGACAAATTAAATTATTAACTAAATTAAAATTATTTTTATTATTATTATGATTAATGAGCAGTGCTAAGGCA